TATTGTACATTAAGGTTGTAGTTCTGTGATAAATAGTAAAGATAAACTGTAAATATATTGTAATGTCGTCATCATCAGTGATGTTTTTTGGGGATATTGGGTGTTTCGGGTCTTTGGGCAACACACCATGTTCTTTCAGGGTACCATGGCCACAGACTTACAAGTGTTGGCTTTCAATTAGACCGGGAGGTCACAATCTGCAATACAAAAATCACCGAATTAAAAACAAATGTTGATTTGAAACACAAATAAGCAGAAAAACATTATTTGTGAAAGCAAATAAAGCGAATTTTTTATTGCAGGTCTCTTCAAACAGTTGCACAACAACTGGATCATGTTAGCCTTCATTCCTGGTAAACCCTGTAAGTGACACCGTGAATGTGGTCAGGTTTGTCCAACTTTATACGACATACATGCAGATTGTAGTTTGATTGATTGATAGTTTAACCTCTATGACTCCTGTTGTATCTAGAGAACCATCTCTCTTGTTAAGAGGTTTTCACTCGTATAATTAACATTTCCATTTGCCAGATCATCAAGTACTCTGGTCTAAAATTCCTATTAAAAACAAGAGAGGCCCTCCCTTGAGCCAGTGTTTGGTTTGTCTTCTCCAGCGCGACAGGCTCTGTGGACGAAGACTTGCAAGTTATATGGATACAAAGGGCTCATTCTGAGCTAATGGAAACACAATGATTTGTATTTACTTATAATTATGCACCAGAGAAAACATAATCATGAATATACTTTGAAAATGAATTTTTATTTCTGCCAATATTTGTTTTAAATCCCAACTCTGGTCCTTTAAACCATCACCTCTGAACTCAGTGACTGTGACAGAGTTCACAAGCAGACTAGTGGCCTTTGGAGCTTTGCAGGTCTAGAGTCTGTGGTCACTATTTGGAACAAGCTGAGGCCAGACATTATACAATGCAGGACCTAGTAGGACTGCTGCTCCTCTTTCCTCCTCCTATTCAGTCCAGTTCTGCTCAGGACGCCTCCTCCTGTGGAGGTTTGGAGAAAAGGGGCAAAACCCTGAACACCGGGCTTGGGAAAACCTTGGGATCCTTAATTATCTTGATGAATTGTTTAGTTTAATGTTAACCCTACATTTACCACAGATGTTTTACCAAGAGCAATAGTCTGTTTTAATGCTCATCAGCAGCTGCTCGACTCTCACTGTCGGCATCTGTAAAACATGTGATTCACATTTTCCTGCTTGTTTTCACCTTGGAACCAAAAACCCAAAAGAAACAGACTTTACTTTTTTATGTTAATCCTTTAAACATTAGAAAGTGATTCTGTTTATAGTTCATCATTAATAAAGCCCAGAACAACTTGCTGGGATCGTGTGCACAGTGTGAAGATGTGGTGTGACAGCAGACCTGGGGTCATTTGTCACACATATGCCAGCCATGTCGCTGGAGACAAACAACGAACACACACCAGACCACGGTCATGTGTTTGTGTGTGTTTCACAAGGCCCAACAATCCCCACGCCATCCCGCTCCACTCAAACATGCTAATGTACCTGTGCTCTGCTCTAATTGGTCCCAGTGATGCTCGCCCTGCTCCACCTGTGTTCATGGGAAGCCTCCAGTCAGTCCTGCAGTCAGGCCCCCGCCACTGCGTGCGGTGCTAATATTATGCAAACAAACACTTCTTTGTTGTTTGGCACTTCTTGCACCGACCCGCCACTGTGGAAGAAAGGGAGAAAGTAAGTAAAGGAGAAAGGGATGAGGGGTGGGTGAGTGTGTGTGTGCTTGAATTCATTAGTGTGATTACCTGAGGTGTGCTACTTTACAGGGGGTAATCTGCCAGCCCGCTTCGTACCCTCCAAACTTCAGCCAGTCCGCTAATGAGCGCTTGGAAAAGTTAGTCAAGGTGGAGAGGTGCTTTGAGGCGCTATCCACCACAGACTGAGGGGTTATTATATATGCTGGAGCAGAAAACAAAGGATGGTTGCCTGTTTTATAAGTGATAGGACCAATGAAGACTGATACTGATGGCCGTTTGTTTTCACTGTGAGTGCACGTAACACAATGGCACTCTGGGTAGTGTACCAACTGATGATCTCTGAACCTCAGAAGACAAAAAAAAAACGTGGAGTTTGGTGTAGCATGAAATCCCAGAAAACAACACAATGCACCCAACAATGAGAGTCTGACTTAGCTGTGATATTAAGAGACACATTCTCTGCACCATTTGAGACAACATCCCAGATTAGTCATCAGAACACTGGAGGGTTCAGGTGGTCACATTTCGAGAGAGTCCCTTCTCTCTGAGGTGATGTGGAGCGCGGCAGCTTCCCTCCTACGCTGTGAGAAGAGGTGGATTAGAGACCAGATCAACCCCTCTCTCATTCTCTCTTTTTTTTTTTCTTCCCAGGAGCTCAGGCCATGGCTTTAGAGAGACAGCTGCCATGAGCAAGGCTTAGGACAGTCCACAGGGACGGAGAGAGTGAGAAGTGTAAGTGCCAAAGAAGAATGCGAGTGCAGGAAGAGTGTGGTCACGAAGGACAAGACAAAGAGGGAGAAGATGTATAAGATAATGTTTATATGTATGAACACACATGGCAGAGGGGTCCAAAAATCTGAGACCACTTCACTTTCCCTGTGAAGTGGAAAAGTTACAGATGGATCCTGAAACTTTCCCCCTTCCTCTCACTCTATGCCTCTGCTTTATCACAAAGCATCAAAACATAGCTTGAGTCCCCGGAGTGACTGGCCTTTTTATCTGCTCCCTAGCTTCCCACGGCAGGCCGCATCCACCCATAATCTGCTGCCGTTTCATGTCTGGAGTGCCGTGGAAGAGGATAAGGGACTTGTTCAAGTGAAGATCAATGAGGTTGTATCCATAGCATATGTGCATTAGGAGGAGGAGATTCCTTTCCTGTCTTTAATTTGGCATTTTCTCATTAATCTGGACTTAAATTTTTTAAGATTTCTGTCGTACACATGTGTAAACAGCATCTACCTTTTGTTACTGAACCGGCTCTCTGTGGATCAGAATTAACTGTAAACATGCTGCATTATACATTTGTCAAAAACACATTTGGCTGTGTGTCACAAGCACCTTGTTTTTTTAAGACAGTGCCAAGTGTCTTTGTGTGAGAAATCAAAGCAGACTGGTGTATTGGCAGCGATAGCCGGGGTGTGAAACTGTGTCAGTGAAATAAGGGAAATCACCAGAGGCTGTTCTGAGGGATCTGCGAGGACTAATTGTGCATCAGTTGGAGGCTGCAGAAATTCTTGGTTATTGCTTTGACTGTACCACTTTGTACTGGGTGACCAGTCATCCCACCCAAGTGGCGCACACTCACAGCAGACCAAAAGGGAACTGAAAAGCCTTGGGACACACAAAACACAAACATCATCGATCGACCCCAAAGTCAACCCGTGACCCTGACCTCCCCTTTCCCTCCAGGATAATTCTCTTGCAGGAATCTGTGGAAAGTAAAGAAAAGAGTACAGTAAAGTTGGATTTAAAGAAAGAGACAGAGGCAACAAAATGACACAGAGTTGAATGTGTTGGAAAGAATAAAAGAGGAAGAGAGGAAAACTTTGAATTTGGAACTACCGATCAAAGTAATTCCCACAGGAAACCTCGCTTAATGAGAGCTGTACTAGAGAAGAAGGGTGGAAGACAAGGAGAGAGTGAAAGAGAAGAAAAAAAGGCCACGGCACGCCATTCCTACACAGACAGAAAAAAAAACGAGATGAATCATACACAGCACCTAGTGCAAGATGTGTGTGTGTGTTGGAGGGAGGATGTTTGAAGGGTGTTTTCAAGATTGTTTTAACGTCTTCACTGAGGGAGCGTCAAAGGCAAGGCCAGGTTAATTAAACCCAGGGGAGTACCAGCTGAGGGGGCCCGCATTTGAATATGTCATAGAAATAGCATGAGTGTGTCAGCCGAGGCCGGATGGCGCGGCTCGGCGAGGAAACATGTTGACTATGCATTACACACTTAAAGGAAGAGAGGGAGAAACACAGACAGTCAGACGGCAAAGGGTGGGGGCTCGGAGATAATTTGCGTGGCACTGATGCCTCTGTCTTCTATACCCGCTGTGCCACCGGATTTCTCTGAGTTATTAATGTTTGTCATTAGACACATTATGCTGGAGGACAGTGACTGGGGAAAAAAAAATGCTGAAATTTATATGGGACAAATATTGACAATAGCTGGCTCCTGGGTATTGGAGAAGAAGAAAAGATGCAAACTATGTTAATGAATGGTAATTAACCACCAGGGTTTGTCTCTCCTGGATCCCAGCTAAATTGGTCCCCGAGTTGCAGCCAGAGACAGTCCTGGCCTAATCCTTTATTATAAAAAGATAAAGGAAAACGACATCATTAGCATATATTTGAGGAGGGAGGGGGGATTAAAAAGTGGAATTATTTCTTTTTAATTCCTGAATGGAGGATTCTTCACACCATAGTTAATTATACATAATAAAAAAAAAGAAAGCGGGAAAGTGGTAAAGAGGAAAACAAAAGCTAGAAGAGGTGAAGAATGGAGTAAAGAAAAAAAAAAAAACAGGGATGATACGAAGGGAGGAGTGTGAGGTCTCTTGTGTAGGAAGCCGACTCAAGGACAGAGGAGACCAGGATCGTGGTTTAATATTCAAAATGAATAATAAGAGAGGGAGGAAAAAGGAAACAGATAAAAGGCGTCGGAGGTAGATATGTCAAGGATGGAACGGCTCCTCTAATACACCCCTCTGCTGTGCTGCGCGTGTGCTCATGTGCACCCTTGTTAATGATGTCAACAGCAGGGGTCACTTGTTACAGAAAGGAACCACGCCAACAGTCAGCTGTCAATCATCTGAAAGGTGTAGGAACCCTGCTGTCCACCAGAGATCCTCAGTCCCCATCACACACTGACTGACAGTCCTTTGAACTGCTGGAACGAACCAAATACAGGAGAGCGTTTAGACAAGACCCTGAAATTCACCAAGAGAACAACAACACGGACAGGAAATAAGGGAACTGAGATTTATTTGAAAATCCAGATATTTTTGTTAAGAAAATGATTGGCACAATTCACAATTACATTATCAGTAGAACAAATACAGATTAGAAATGGAATATTAGCACCACTTAAAGGAAAAAAAAATGTCTGAGATTTATGGAATTCAGTAATTTACAAAAACCAGTCAGAATATTACGAGAAACAAAGTTGTGATATTACATTACCATTAATATCAGGACTAAACAAAAACTGTGTCTATTCTGAGGAAAGAACCACAGATAACTGCCTGTTTTGTGGAGAATGAAATGTTTGCTAGTGGTCGACTGTAAGTGATTTTTTATTTCCATTTTTATTTCCTTAAAATTACAAATTTATTCTTTTAATATTGTAACTTTTTTCCCTTTTTTGCGCAAAGCGACGATTGTTTCTCTTGACATCGTTTTTGTTCTCCCTTCAAGTGGCCTTGATACTTCATCACAGAAAAGATAACAGTTCATACAATATCAAGCAAAGTTAATTAGCATCAGAAATAAATAGTGAGCTCCAATCACTGATGGGGTCTCTGAGAGCAGAGCAATCAGGTCTGATAAATGGACGTAACCTCTTACAGTGAAAATTCTGCTCTGTGCTGCACTCGACTTTCTCAAAGTGTCGACTTGGCATTGCTAGGTCAAGTCCCTGCACCCTTAGGTCCTTGAGTTGCCAAATAAATTAGGGGAAGAGGTAAAAGAGGGTAAAAAAAAGTCTCACTTAAACATTAGAGTAAGCATTTGCCTTATCACCCCAGGTCTGTGCTGAGAGTGGGGGAGAGTGGCTGCTCTGTAAATTAGCTTGGTGCTAAAGGGCCATGTCTGATAGACGTAGTGCATTGAGGGCTAACACAGATGTCGAGGGCTCATTTACAAAAGCCGGGCTGCTGTGTTGCGCCAGTGGCCCAGAGTGAGTCGACAGCGCTTTTCTCACAAATATTGGTTCTGCTGCCCCGGCTCAGCTTGGCTCAGCCCACCTCCCACTGAGTAGGAACCAGTGAGGGAGAGAAGAAGGGAGGGCAGAAAAAGAAGAGGATGACAGTTTTCCCAGCCTCAGCCCAGGGAGTCAGGCTTTTTCGCTGACTGGTGTTGCGAGCGTGGCCAGCTCTTCTGTCAGCACTTTCCTCTCCTTCATCTTCACACGCACAGCCTCTATTAGCTGGCCGGCAGAGGGGATCTGCAGAGGAGGGGAAGGATAGAAAAGGGGTGTGGGGGCGGTGGTAGAAAAGGGTTAGAGGAAAATGAGGAAGACACAAATACACCACTATTAAAAAAAAAGGGTCAGATGTTTGACACCTGGCGGCTTTTCAGAAAGCTTATGTGTTGTTTTGTGAAAGAAGACAACCTAAGATGGGGCCGGAGGACTCGTGAAACTTTTGAGGGACCATTCATGTTGAGTGCTTTGACAAAGCAATTCACAAATCAGGCTGCGCAGCAGTAGTTTCAACTCCTCATTTCACATCTCATTTTACTCTGACCTGTTTTAAGTTAATCTCCAGACTTTTCCTTGCTTTTATTGATAGGACAGATTGTACAGTGAAAGAGGGGAGCGTTTCAACAATGTTTTTTTACAACAAAGGTTCATAGTTTTCCAAGTCTGACTAAAAGCTTCATTCACAAGCCTTTTTGCTCTTGTTTTTCTTATCACACTGGCTGATTAATTCCTTGGTAAAAGATAGGAAACAAAATCTATCTAGAAAGTTACAGCCTTCTGTTACTCTGCCTCTTCTGCAGCTCAACAAGGGGACGTTAAAAATTAGTTTTTTATACTAAACCTGCAGTAAATTTGAAAGATCCACACATGATTTTGACAACTCACATGGCCACATATAAGATTTGTTTATTATAATATATAAAATGTGAACCCAGTCTTTTTAATAAAGGATAACGCCAAACGTTGACTTGTTTTGTTGGGGCTGAAGACACAGTACACTTTCCCCATAAGTCACTTTTAACAGATATAAAATATAGAATCAGTCGAGGCGTCCCTGGAGACATTTATGACATTGTTTTTACTGAATTGTATCTGAGCAGGGGAGGTAAGTGGATGAGAACTGATCACTGAACACTTAATCATACAGGATGAAACATGTTGAGCATGAAGAGACTTTTTATCTGTTTTCTTAATTGTTGTGCAAATGCAGGAGAGGTGAAGATAAAGAGGTGGGCGGGTTTATCTTCAGACTTCAGTCTAATTTAGTTTTTCCTCCTGAATCAACACAAGGATTTTATGGTCATTAGGACGCATGATCAAAGGAAGGCATTCTTACGATATCACCCATAAATATTCACTTCAAGTTATGTGCCTTTTACAAGCGCCTTCGCTGAGCGAGGGAAACAAATTAATTCCCTGAGCAATTGTCCAAAGCACATGGCCTGAGATGAAAAGTGGACGGGCCAAAATGAAGATGTTGACAACAATATCATAAACTTTACTGTGTAACATCTCCAGGAAGGAAGGGGGGAAATGCAAGGTATCGTGTTGCTGTGCTCTGACTAACACAAACTCATAACACATATTGGTATTAGCTCTGGGGCTGACATCTTTTAAGGACACAGAAAAGCACTGTGATGTGATTTGAAACCATCTACTTATCAATTTCCAATACATCTGCAGAGTGAAGCCTCTGAAACTCATGTGCACATATGAAAACACGCACAGGCCTCCCGCCCCCCCGACACCTCTCTCTTCTTCATTAAAGGTAACAGGAGATGGGAACACAAGGCCCTGTGTGCTGGGAAGTGAGTGTTAAAGTGTATGTGTGTGTGTGTGTGTGTGTGTGCACACACTAAGCATGTGTTGTACAGTGGGGAGTCAGTTCCAGCAGCACTGGATGCATCAAACACACGGCGCTATTCCACAGAGAACCACTACACTGGAGTAACTAGTAGATATCTCCCTCTGCTGCGGTCCATCTGGGAAAACTCGCTCTTTCTGTCTCACACACACAAACACACACAGACACACACGCACAGACACACAAATTCCTGATCAGCTAATTGCACTTAGAGCCACTAACTATGCAAACAACCACCACTAAAATAGAGACACAGCCACAACACAAGGCTCTATGGGACAGGGAAGTGGGAGACTGGATCATTAAAAGTACAAATATGGGAATATGGGTAAACAACACTAACAGGTAAACATGATCTAGATAAGGCCAACATGAGTACGACTTCTGGCAAAAACATGATAAAACTTTATTTCGGGGCATTTTATGTTTTTTTATTGGTGGTTGACACTTAATGTTATTCCTGTGTCAGCGTGGGTTTTCTCTGGCTTCATCTAACAGTCCACAAATGTGAAAATTGGGGTTAGGTCAGATGGAGACTCTAAATTGCGTAAATGGTTGTTTATATGTCAGCTCTGCGATACACTGGCATCGTGTCCAGGGTTTACCCAGCCTCTTGCCAAATGTCAGCTGGGATTGGCTCTGGCTCCCCGCGACCCCAAAAGGATAAGCGGTGTGGATAACGGATGGATGGATGCTTTTATTACAGACAGTATAGCAAGATGACAGGAAGTTAGAGAAAGACAGATGTTAGTCTCCAACCAGAGTCAAACTGGGGTATGCTGCAGTTCATGTTCACTGTCTTACCGCCAAAAAATACGTGGGTATCCCTCTAAATGGCTTCATGACAAATCAAAAGCTCAGAAACAGATCCCTACTCTTTGTGAGATTCTGGAACTCACAAGCAAGACACCATCGCTCCCTTTCATCTAACTGCCACATTTGCTGGGGACCAATACCCTGCAGGGTGGTTGGAGGAAATCTGTGATGCAGCTGCTCTACCTGATCCCCTGGGCTGCTTAAGGCGACGTTGGGAACTGGCAGTAATGTTATGCTACAGTTGATTTAGTCAGGCCCCTGTCCCCTTTGGCAGACCTTGCCAGCACCAGCGCTGAGCAACACTACCACTGTTTTGCAAGAGGTCCTGTCCCCTTTGGCAACACTGAAACAGCTACTATAGCATTAAGCCATGCTAACTCACATCCATTACTATTCAACAGGCCCTGCAGAGCAGACCTTTTGTCTAGGTGTGATTTCATGAACACGTTTCAGAAGTGATCTGACGAGTAAAGCCACTGACACAGGCAAGTGTGTGTATATCCTGTGTTTATATGTGTGTGCATGTGAATGTGTGAATGTGTGTGTGTGTGTGTGTGTGTGTGTGTGTGTGTAAAGACAAGGACAGGGGCTGCAAGCAAAATGTGTTTTTATGAGCCAATTAAATGACATTGCTATTCTGCAGCCTGGGGCACTCCTCAAGGCTAGGAGCAGCTCAAAGTTGCAGCACTCCAGTGACCATTGTCTGGTAGTGGCATTACACACATCAACTTTTTTTTTTCTTAAAAGATCGATCATTCCAGCTCTTTTGTCTTCTCCCTTGGAACGCGTTAGCGCATGGGCCCAGTTTGTGTGTAGCTGCAGAGATTGTGTCAGGCGGTCGGATAGCTAAATGAGTACGAATGAGAGGGGAGGGGGATTCAGAGAGTTTAAAAGAGATATGAGGGTGTACATCATCCAAATTTCTGCATGTGCTCAGCAAATAACTACAGAGTGATGCCACATTATCAATTGTAACAGCCATATGTAATTAGGTTGATGTATTCTACTGCAGAAGCAATGTTTCTGTCCTTTTAAAGTCCTGTGTGTACCTTTATGAGTGTGACATCATCATAATGTTTATACAGTTTGTCATAAACAAAGATGTACGCTCCTGTTTGATCTCATAATAGCTGCAAAAAAAACAAGGTGTCACATTTGCGTAGAATGACTAGAGTGTTTTCAAAGTGCTGATAGATTCCTGGGATAAATCTCTGTCCCTGGCTGCTGAGCCGTCTTCAATCTAGGCCACTATTCAAGGTGAGGGAGAAGTAGTTACAGCAGCTTTATCACAGAGGGGAAAACAGCTCTTTGATCTTTGATCCTCTCACTTTTGTTTGAAAATCAAATTTACGATACAGGGGAATAACAACAACAACAACAACACGATAAATAGAGTTAAAAAGAGCCAGAGCACAAAGGCACTATACTAAAAACTCTTGCATTTGATTATCTCTGATAATGAATATGTCACATTTGCAAAAAGGGGCTCAGGTAAGAAAACCACTAAAGCACCGACAAGTCTATTCTCTCCCTCTCCGCCGTAATTACCCACCCCTGCAGCAGAACAGATCCCTCTCCTTTCTCCCTTTAGGCCACTAGAGACTGATATGAAAGGGAATTGGACACTTGGGGCCACAAATACTGTAATTAAAAATCTCTCCTTTTCTTGATAAGTTGTTTGGAAACATCATTTCAGTGCGCAACATGCATTTGTTAGGGATCTGACCTAAATACACCCTAGATTAAACACAGGGAAGCACCGGGTCTTTGTTTCAGGTTCCTACTCATTAGGTGTGAAAATGAGGTGATTCTGGCACAAGTGGGGTGTAAATATAGAAAGGTGATATCCATACAGAAGAGATGCAACCTTTAGGTAGAATTCAGCAATCGAGAGCACAGCCATGATTAACAGTACGGCTCATTGGCTGAGGTAATGCACTGGGAAGCAGTGACAATCACCAAAAGTGGCTGTGTCTGTACAGAAAACAGTCACTTACAAAAACATGATGGAGGGAAAGAGGTGTTTGGACAGCGACATAAGGGAATGTAACAGAACAAGCCATTTATTCAGTGAGGAAACATTAATCCTCTTTATGTGTTAACTTCAAGAGTCCACTGTGGATGACCCTTGGGTGCAATCAGACTGGCAGCAACGTTAAACTCCAAAATAGCATCAAACCTTAAGAATAATTACATTTTTCACCTGACTTATCCAAACCCCTGAAACGTTTGCTACACTGTTGTCCACCTGGCAAGTAATGCCATTTCTATTCATATGAATGTAAACACACTGAATAAGTCACACTGTGCTACACTATTAACAAGAACTTTAACACCAGTCTCCTCCAGGGAACTCCCTCCTCCAAGCCCCCACCGCTGTTCCAGTGACATATTTACAGTACAAAGGCTCAGCTCGAGTCCCCGCCACGCACATACAAACACACTTAGAGACAAAAAAAGAGTGGCTGATTTAATTAGCTCAATCATTAAATGAGGCTTAATTAGTCACTTTCCTTCGGAGAGAAGTGTGGGACTCAGAGCTGTTCCTTGTCATTACGAAGGCATAATGAGCCACAGAACACAACACAACGCACTTCTCTCACTCTCACAGCACCGACAACAATGGAAAACTTTCTGAGAAACCAAGTGCTGAGGCTTTGTTGTGATTAATACCGAGGGTTAATGATGTAATGCCCTGAGAAGTGCCGATATAGAGTGAGGCTTTGTCAAGAAGTGACACGAATAAAGTCTGTTATTTAACATCATAAAAACTATGTCCTTTACTGAGCTACAGCGACCTCTGCCCAAAGTTCAATAAGGAAACAAATTACAAGAATCATTTCAGCCCTGTGGTCCATCCATTAACATCTCTGATGTTTTACAACGTGTCCAGTCCAGATTGGTCCGGCCTGTCTCCACTACTGTCTTAATGTAATGTTCGCCTGCTTGTTATAGTTTGGAGGCTGATAAGAAGTGATGCTTGTACGTCTCCCCCGGGTGTGATTGTGAAGTAAATATTAGCAGGCCCTCAGCGTCACCCCATACTAGTAAACCAAACCACTGTCCTCTCATAAAGAAATCAACAGAGTCAATGACTTTTTAAATGTTATTATACTGTCATGAGGCTTGAGATGGGTACGTGTGTGTACAAAATGAGTCTGAAAAATGATCTGGGGGGAACGTGTGTGTTTTCGTGCATGTGCACACGCTTGCATGCACATGCTCCTCCTGTTCATTATTGGCCAGCAGCAGAAGCCAGTCATTTCCCTGTCTTCATAAAGACTTGGCCCATTAAATTCTACCTCCAGTCAATAATTAGGACTCCACAAATAAACCAAAGGCAATTAAATCAATGCTTCCCCGGGTCGGTGCCTGGACCCTACGGCCCACATGGACACTCCATCTTCACTGCTGGCCTTATTCATGGCGGGTTGCTGTGGAGCCATACAGTGCACCCCCTGGCCTGCTCATGATTATTAGATAGCACCGTCCCTCGATCCTGGCTATGGAGCACTGCTTATGGTGGCTCTCTACTGAGAGGCGTAGGGTTTGATTTCATTAACTCACCAGTGGAGGTGAGAGACGAGGAAATGAATGCAATGTTTCATTTGGTTTTGAGTGGACATGTGGGGCAGCGGTGAGGGGCCTCCGGAAATCTATGCCACTTCGTTGGCATGAAAGGATCCGTAACTCAACATATACAACCAAATCTCTACATAAGACACTTGTTTGCCAATGTCTTGTGGAAGTCTCCCTTGTTATGTTGACATGTGGCAGTGGATGACAGTGATGGCGAACAATAGTCCAACACACAGATACACACAAACCACTCCTCTGGTCTTTCACACATACACACACTTACGCAGAGATACAACACAGAATGAGTGATGGGTTTGCTATTGACAGGGCCACTGAGATAATAAAGTGCTGTCCCTCTGGCAGCTCCATTAGGCACTGACAGTGACAAGATGAGGCTGTCGTGAGTGTGCACACACAAGTGGGTACACATACCCGCACATACGCACACACGCTCAGAGATGGACACAAACTCATCCTCTTTCAGTGACAGCCAGCCAGTTAAGGACATGGATCTCTCTCTCATCTTTCCTTTCACTGGGTCTATTTCTGTCTCTGTCTTTTTATCCAAAGAAGAGTGTGTGAGTGCAGCACAAGGGTAAGATCATATCATTATTAGGGGAGTGTGTTATTAGTGTCACAGGCAGGGTGACAGGCCAGGCCATTCCACTTCACAGATGTTCTGCTTGGTGAGCCTTTCATAAGCTATGACAGAGAGTAGAGAAATCAAGAGGGCACAGTATGATAGTTCTTGAAGTCTATTCCCTCACTAAGAAAATGCTGGCTTCTCAGAATCAGCAGCCATGTGATGTACAGACATATTATCACAGCTGTTTTTAAAATGTCATAGTAAGAGATCGACCTAAACTGAACCAGATTCAGATGCTAAAATACTAAAAGACAGATATATAAAAGCTAGAGAAGAGGACAGAGCCAGATGTTACCTTGATATGACAGTAGTCTTTGAAAAAACAGAGCAAGGAAAAAGCAAGTTAAAAAAATCAAATAAATAAATAAATAACCCCCCCCCCTCTCAAAAAAAAAACTGAACAAGATGGACTTTAAAGCGGATAGAAAAAGTCTTTTTCAGTGAGGGGGGATGACTGCGGTGGTCCCAGTGGTCCCCACAGGGACCTGGGGGCAAGTCTCAGCCTTGTCATACTCTGCTCTTCTCCTCCTCCTCGCTCCACACCAGCTCCAGCACCCCCCCACCCCGTCCTCCACCACCCCTGTTCTGCCCACGGAAAACGTCGATAGCAGGCTGCTGGTGCCGAGGTCTCTGGTGGACACTAGCTCATTCTCCCGGCATCGACAGGCCCGCCAAATCAATATTTAGTTCCCCACTAACAAGCTGCCTCGGGGTCTGAGCCAGAGAGAGAGAGAGAGAGAGAGAGAGGGGAGGGAGGAGAGAGAGAGAGAGGGAGAAAGAGAGGAATGCGGGACAGTGGAGGATGGCAGAGAGAGACAGAGAACAGGGACTGAGAGCTGTCCAGCTAGAAGGGAAAAACATGGATTCAGTAGAGTGTTGTTTGTGTGTGTGTGTGTGTGTGTGTGTGTGTGTGTGTGTGTGTGTGTGTATTAGTGTGGGAGGGGGAGAGGAAGGTGGAAAGGTCAGAAGAAGATCTGGGGAACAAGAGAACAGTGTCTGGTGTGTGTCGTGGTGCGGAGGCGACGCATGAGTGCCTGCAGCAGCCGCTGACAAGAACACAGACAAGACACACACACACACACTCGACACTCTCAATCATACACATATCACAGCGAGCAGACGTTGACAGCACTCCAGTAAAGCTCCAACAGAGCACTCACAGATGAGTGGCTGTGCACACCAAGACCCACACACAGTGAGGATGTAGTTGCTTTTCTTTGTTTTATCACTTGCATCATTCTTTCAGAGCCTGGAGCAGGACACATTTGGGTGGGAACTAAAATTCATCATTCATTTACGTAATATAGGTGAGAATTGGTATCCAGTTGTTTCTATCCTAAAGACTGACAAAGCATATCAGCAAGTTAAAATATTTTATATGATAGGTATCTAGAGAAAAAATGCCAAACAGAGAAATACAAACACAAGAATTTAAGCTTGACAATCAAGACATTGCACTTATACGGTTTATATACAATTTGTAACACAGAGTAACATTATCATTAAATCCTAAAATGAAACAGAAAATTAAAAAAAATATATCAAGTACATCTGTTTTTAAGGTTTTGCACTGTGAATCAATATATATCAATAAATAAATGTATAAATCTACCTGTGCATTTTTTATATTTATATTTATATATTCCATGACCAATTTTCTGTTACCTAAACATTTCTACTAATCTAACCCCAACGAAAGAGAGGATGAAGACTTCTTATTACTGAGAGCGTGAAGGAAGGAGCAGTGTTTTTGTAGACGTGTGAAACTCACCTTTTGCTGCAGGATGTGGTTTAGTTGGTCGAGCCACTCCCGGTCTGTTGGACTCTCTGAACGAGCCTCTGTTCCCTGCAAACACAACAACGAATATGAAAATAAACGCAGTGATAGACATCATGCCATGTTTTTATATCACCTTTAATATTAATGCTTTGTATGTGGATGATACTTCTACAGAGAACCTGCCACTGTATCGTAACACTCTTCTGTGTGTCTGCTGCTTTAGGGCAGAATTGTAACATCACACCAGCCAGGACCTTGAAGGAGCTCTCTGGAGAGTCAGTGGCCGGGTACGCCAGTTTACGTTTTCATGCTACTCATGTAAAGACCTAACAGTGTGGTAGCCTTGTTAGTGCTAATGAACAGGGTGAAGATTGACTGCATGGCAATGTGCACCTCAGCACTAATGTGCTACCTCTTCACATTGAACACCAGGTGTTTGCTGCTCGAAATGATGTGACGAGCCTTGCACCACCTCACAGGGACATGGGGAGGGCAGGGGTTTGTTTGTTTGTGTGTGTGTGTGTGTGTGTGTGCAGCTGCACTTGTAAACTGACGGACCAAACAGACGATCCTGTGAAGTCTGAAGAAGCATGGGCTGTCCAAAGTCACAAGTCCACTTGACGGCTTTTGCAGACTTCATGTGAACTTTGATAGAGTCCGCTGCAGGTGCTGCCTTCACTAGTAGAGTGTATGCTGAAGATTACCCAACATTCATAGCAATATGGACGTGAGTCAGACAAGCAAATGTTGGTTTTCAGACTAATAAGAAGAAAATATCAGACCAATTTGTTGGAGAGAATCCTCCAATAAGAAATGCTTAGGAAGGTAATAGGAAGTTTCCCTCTACATATCAAACATCATCTGTGTGTGCAGTTATTTTGTGCAGCAGTTGACAACACATTTTGCTTGTCCCTATGTAAATAAAATTTATTTTATTGAAAGAAATCCATCTGCATACATGTTTTCACTACTTTATTTATGTAGGAAACTCGTGTTTGAGCACGAGAGCTTTCGACACAGCAGACACAATATGTACATATAACAGTTTGTATGACCTTGTGGATATTGTTTTGAACGTATGTTTTACGTTTAAAAAAAGTCCATCCGCTCCGGCCAGACAAGAACATTAAGGACTACAAACATTAAAACAAGCATGCTGTGCCAGTAGGTGGTGATAAAGTCTAAATCAACTATCCGTCAATGGTCAAATACCAGAGAAGAACACTGTAGTCCAAATAATATTGAGGCAGAAGCCTGTGAATGCTGGTAATGAGGTGCAGTGATGCTAAATTTAGCGGCCAAGTTCTAATTGTACCTAGCAGTACTAACTAAACGTAGAAAGACCGGTATATAGTTGCCATTGTTGTTTTTTCCGGAGCATTCTCATTACACAAAGCAACAGTAGATATGCGCAATATAAGCTGTGATTAAATTCTTTCCCAAACTCTCTATTTTACAAGTTCTTACGGCTACATAGAAACCTGTTTTTGAACATCTGCATTTTGGAAGGTGTTTTTAAAAATCTGTTTTAGTGACTCAAAACTCAGTTTACAGAGGCTCAAACAGAGGAAAAAGTTTGCTCTGCAATAAATCTGACCAGGTCTGCAAGGGCTTGACAATTCACATTTTGATTAAATATGTGTTTCACCATTGCAGTCCCCAGCTTCCTGGAGCCCTCCATGTGTGATCATGGTGACAGCACTAAGGCTAGGCTAATTTCAGTGTATGCCTAATTAGTGACTGATGCTAAGAGTAACTGAGAAGTAGATGGAGAGCAAGGGGGAGGCAGTGTGTTGTTACATTAGCAAGAGAGAGAAAGAGAGGGTGAGAGAAGAAAGTCTACTTGTGACTGCTGCCTTCAAGCCTCCCACAGGGGTGAACATAGTGTGTGAAAAAGTGTGTGTGTGTGTGTGAGATTCAGTCAGTGCGCTTGTCCACCCTTGGTAGATATATAACAAAGCACAGATGCTCCATCTAACATTAGGTGCAAAACAAACTGGCCTGGCAATTATAGGCTTATTACATCTGGATCATTAACTTCAAAACTAGTTGCCCAGGGAGCCTAGAGCTGCTCTGCATGCTATGGAATGGATAGAGGCACATAACAGTTTGCAGCATGATGCATTTGTGGAGGAGCTACACGCCTTCTATACATCTATGGGCATACAGAACATTGATCTTTATGTTTTAAAGTGTTATTGTGAAAGTAGGCGGCTGTAAGTTTCTGGTCTATTTGAAAAAGGCTTGAAAATCAATTAATAAATTAAAAATACAAAAAGCAAGCCAAAACTAATGCTCTGGAGAAAAGAAAATATGTAGCCTTTGAAAGAGATGGTGGTAATTACACGAAGGTCATCTGTTCCCCAAATTCTCTAAAATAATAACCACTACTAGGAATAATACATTTAAACATTTTGATATGTCAGAAATTCAAAATCGGATCGATTTCCAAATCAAGTACCAATACCAATAACCCCAAATGTTGAAAACTTCCGTGAATATCATTGACAAGTAAAAAATCTGCCACACCAAAGAAAAGTAGCTGAGTTGGAAATGGAGTATTCTCATTTAAAAGTAAAACTGAGAAGTAAAAGCAATCCCAGTGAGCCCTGTGCTCTTATTCTGCACACTGGTATCACAAAACCAAGTGAATAAATGAATACACTTGTGTTGGACTTGTTGAAGACTGACTGGAAATTCTGATAACCTCATGTCATGTCCTCAAGTCCAAAGAAAAACACACAATCAGAGCTCAAGACAAGTCACAATTCTGATTCACGTATGAATAATGATTCTCAACACATTGTTGACACAGAACGTGTACATCAAACAAGCCTCAGTTCAGTCTATGTATAGTGTAGATACATTTTTAAAATTCTAACAACTCGTTAGCACAGTTGAGCTCAAACTGGTTACCTCTGCCAAAGTGGTTGTGTTTTTAGCCCTCTGTTTGTTTTGCATGTTGGTTAGTTTGTAAGCAAGATTACACAAAAACAACTAGACAGGATAAGCACAAAACTTGCAGTATGGGTCAGGGAAGAACCCATTTTGGTGCAAATGTGGATGAGGACATTTTCTTTCGTTTCTGTTTTCCCAGGGAATAATTCATGCTTCTTGTTAAAAACTAAAAAAAGCAGGCATATTAAGGTAACTGATATTTATGAGTATGTGAAATTTGATGCAGCTTGATTGAATTCAAGGGGACTGTTAGTCCTTGGTGGACCTGTTTTTAATATCACTTCCATTGCCAAGTTGACGACACTTATATAAAGATATATTTAAAGCTCTTTCAGTGAGTCCAGTAGTTTCAATAAGTTTCAATTAGCGCACATATGAAACATTTCTTGTTTCACCCATTAATATGGCAGCGAAAACGAGTGGAGAAGACAAGAGGATGACTTCGCCCACAGAGGTTTCAGCCTTGATGAAGGGGACTTTTTGTCAAGTGAGAAACAGAGTTCTGTCATCTCCTGGGTGGAGCTGGGCTGCAAAAGGCTAAAATTGGTTTCAAGTGTGAGTAAGTGCCTGGTGCGCCGTCTCTCATCCTGTGATAGATGGGAGGAAGTCCCCAAGGATGGAAGGTTGATTGTAACACGGAGTTGCTAATTGACGACACGGCTGGAATGATCTATGGTGCAGAAAGGACCCACCAAGTTGGAAAAAGAGTGTGAAACTCAGACTTTTACAGGCAGATTGGAGTCAATAGTCTACGGCTCAACAACTGTTTTCACCAATGAGAAAGGAGCTGTACTTACTCAACTCGTGCCAAAATAAATCTTTTATCAAGTTGACAGGTGCTGCAGGTGTTGACAGGTTTTTGATCTTGTTGAAAGCAAGATCACCAGCTTTACACATGAAGCCACATCCTTTTCTTGTTGCACTGCAACTTCCCATCTTATTAGGGTCATGTCTTGGTGTGAGGTTCACCTTTAAAAACATTACTTAGTGCTCATCCTTGCTTACTTGCCCACATCTATTTACTCATCAATAGGAGAAGGTCAGACAGGGCAGAGATTTCCAGCAAGGCTAAATACTATTAGATGCAGGTGAAATGAACTAAGATCAGAGAGCTTAAGTTTCTCCTGATTTCCCCATTTTCCACCAACGCTAAACTAAAGCATCTGTTTCCAGAGGTGAGGCTGAAGTTGCCGTTGCTCCTTGCCACACATTTATTCTCAATTGACAAAATAAGATACACAACGCCACAAATCAATAATGATGATATGATGTCTTTCCCAGTGCTCTGGTGCAATCACTGAGCAAAACCCCCAGAAAACTTTTAATATTTTTCAAAATTTTACCAAAGAGAAAATCTATTAAAGGTATGTTGAGTGCTGTGGGCATGATCTAAACTTGATATAGATCCTGAAGTTAGCAATTGTAAAAAATGTTCACAGTCCCTTGGCCTTACCTGATCAGTGTCCATTATGTCCGCGAGATCATTCTCTGACATATTGAGAATGGAGGCAGCGATGGATTTGGCTTTGATCATAGACTTGGCTGAGAGGCCGCCTTTCACTGCCACAGTGTTGGCCTGCCTCAACCTCCTCCTCTTCATCAACTGCTGCTTGACCTCTTGAACGTCTAAAAGTATTTCACTGGCCAGGGCCTGAAGGGGGAGGAGAAGAAGGAATAAAAAAAAGAGGATGATGAAATGGATATGGAAAAACAAGAGGGATAGCTCTGCCTGACAGATGAATAAATGAAATTGATCAAGCATGCGCCAGAGAGGCCTAGTACATTATGGAGGAATATTGAGTTTGACACACTCAGATTCTCTTCGGTTTCGCCTCACGCTCCCTTGTAGGAATATGGACCTGAGGGTTTGTTGCCCCGTCGATTGAAAGCTGAGGGAACAGAGCTTTGATATCAAACACACCCCAAGTTTTGCTAAAATCTCCACAAACAGAGAATCATGCATCAGAGAGGGAAAGACAGTGCGCTACTGAAAATACAGCCATTCATTTATTTATTTGCTTTCTGAATGTCTCACAGTACAACAGGGCAGCATAACACTGTTAATAATTAAGCTACGAGGGGCTGTTTCAAATGGCGCCCGAGTGAATGGCAAGTGAGACGAGGAAGGCCTGGGATGGCACAGTTGTCTGGCACTAAATGGGAGTTTGCTCTAAATACAGAGAGACAATTAAATGTTAAAGCTGCCACTGTACACGAGAAAGTCAATAAAGTAAACTCCCCTTTGCTTCATTTTGAGCTTATTGATCGAGGCAATAATCTTCTGTATCATTCCCCTGTAAGCCCGCTGAAAAGCTGACCTTGGAATAGGTGGTCAGGGGAGAGAAAGCTGGAGACAGGAGAACTTGCAGTACACAAAAACAAAAAAAAGAAAAGTACAACTTACTCCTGGACATTGCACAATATAACCAAGTACATTGTGTACACAATGTACACAAACATAAGAAGAAACATGAAAACAATCAAGTGATTTACAGTAACAAGGATAATAACACATGAACAATGCTGCATAGCGACAGATGTCTCAATTTCAAGTATCTTAATTTCATACAGGTGGACCAATCGCAGTTTGGAAAGGCAGTGGTAGTTCTCACAGGAGAGAGCTGAGGGAGTAGAAGGAGGCCTGCAGCTCACTGTATATGAGGAGTGTTGCAGTTTGTTTATGGGCAAGAATATACACAAATATACACATGCAGAGCTCAGGCATTCAGAAATTTAAATGAGACAGGACCACAGTACACAAAGCCCACACATATTGAAATAATAAAGTTCAATAAAAGGTAAAAGAATGGTATATACAAATTAACTATTGTGAAATGTCTTCTAAATCTAAATCAGCAGGTCCAGTTGGCTTTGACTTAACTCTCTCTAATGTCTTGTCTGCAGATATTTTTTGAGAAAGATTTGCCTCTGGTTAAAAAAAAAAAATCTCCATCCACATTACCTTTGTTTTAAAAAATTTCGGTTCAAACGAGAACACAAAAACGACTATAAACGCTCAAACAAACATGCCGGGCCAGTAGGTGGCGATAAAGTCTACTTCAATGATCAGTCAAATACCAGAGGACTCTGTGGTCCAAGTAATATTGGGTGAGGCAGACGCCTGTGAATGCTCATCATGTGGTGCAGTAATGCTAAATGTAGCTGCAAAACTTGTAATTAGACCTAGGAGGGCTACATAATATAGAGAAACAGGTACATAGCCGCTATTGTTGTTGTTGTTTCTGGGGCATGCTAATGACACAAAGCAACAGTGGGCATGCGTGAAGGAAACGGTGACTTCATCACTTCCACTCCACTTTACATGCAAACACAGATACACAGAGAACAGAGTTTTTGAAAAACTGCTATTTAGAATGAGTTTGTAAAAAAATCTCAGTTTTGGTGACTTACAACACTGCTTGTGTGTGGACGAGAGGCTCAAACAAAATATAATTTGTGCAGTTAATAAAACATAAACATTTAATTTAATGAAACTTCAAGTACTGTTAGATCATTTTACGTGATGGCCATCTACTTTAGTGTAAAATAAGCAGTATAGTACTGATTCAAGACGACAAGTACAAATTATAACCATAGTCCATTTCCTGAAGATAGCTTTAGCTCTTTTTGGGTGATCTGAGCGCTGTGTTTACCCTTAAGGAATACACAGCTCATTAACCAACAGTCTTTTATTTACAGCCTAATAGATATTCACTGTCACTAGTCAAGGGCTGTGCTCAATTGACCTAAACCCAGCATTTGGAATAATCCAGACAGAGATTAAGGGGTGAATTCATCACTCATTCTCAGTGCTGGAAAAGACACACAAGGTGTGTGTGTGTGTGTGTGTGTGTGTGTGTGTGTGTGTGTGTGTGTGTGTGTGTGTGTATTTGTTAAGAGCTCTTAGCCTGGCTCGTATCACAATCACTACAGCCAGAGGGCCAATTTAGACTGGATGAGGATTAAGGCATGGAGATGGGGATCAAATGAGCAGCTAAAAAACATCCTCTTTAATAACTAGCTACTTCTGAACCTCTTCACACACATGACGAAACAAAGGGCCATTCGAAAACATTAAGAGCAGAAAGGGAGGAAATAAATGCTCTATAATTTTGTTAGATTATGCGGGCACCATTGAAATGAATGTACCCTAAATCTTGAGTGAGATGGGTAATAATGGAAACCTCTTTCAAAGGTATATGAGAAAGACTTTAAGGTAATCAGATGCAAAAATGTTGTTGCACTCTTACTGTCCAAGTAATTAAAAACTATTTTTATTCAAAAAACTATTTCACTTTTCAGTGGGGATGAGAAACTGAAATATTCTGTGTAAGAGAAGTACCTGGAATGTGTCAATGTTCATGTGTGTGTGTGTGTGTGTGTGTGTGTGTGTGGAGTAGTCACTACATGCAGGGCCACTGTTTAGCAGTTCAACAGCAGTGCTTACAGCCTGGGGCGTGTGCAGGGGCCAAAAGGGTTTGCTGGCACACACAAAAAAAAAATCTCCACACACATATAAAACAAGGAGGCACAAAGAACCAAAAAAAAAACCCCAGCTCATAAAGACACACACACACGCACACGCACGCACGCACACATGCACACATGCACACATGCACAGCCCTCCGGTCCTGATCAATACATGACAAGAGTAAATCTCCTCTGGACGTCAGGCAGTCCAATCAAAGGGCTTGGTGTTCTTATAGGGGATCACAAGAGCTAAGGGGAGACAAACAATGATGTGAATCCTCAACAACAACACAATGGCCCCACCAGCCTAGGGTTATGGGAATGGAGGAAAGGAGTAAAACGAGTGTGAATTGTATTTCTATGCATGTGTTTCTTCGCATATAATGCAGCTTCTATTTTAGGCTGCACGTAGATTTGCATGATCTCTTTCAAACAAGCAAAGGTTTGGCTGTGTAAAATGAGAGGAATCTGAGGCAGGAAAAGGAAGTGGATCATAATAAATGCCCCTGCAGTGCTTTTCAGATGCAAAATTAACCAAACAAGGACAATAATTGTTCCAGTAGATTTTAATATTTCTGGCATTTTTAGACGAAATGATGGAATATGGCATCTAAACTATCGTAATCTTCCATTTGATTAATGTGTGTGTGCAAATATAGTGCTGCCACTATCTATCCCTGCCAAGCCCTTTCCTGCTTTGACAGACAGCCGTCAGATGAACCGTGTTGATGGACAGTCTTTATCAGTCTTTGCCAGACACACAATGACTGACGCAGACACACAAACACACTTCAGGGTGATGGATTAGGCCTACACAAAGACAATAGTGCCCATTCCCATCGGGCACACAGTAGTCTCACAGTAATGCCTTGTGTCACACAGTGCACATGCATTATGGCACACATACACATCCATTCACCTTCTGATATTTATAGAAGAAACAGTTGTGGTAGAAGGCTAAGCAAGGTTATACTAACGTTGTTCCTTCCAGCCACATACCAAAGCTGCTACTTGGAGATCCTAGGGCTTCCCCGGCCAAGAGGGCTGTGTAATGCCACCAAAGTGTTCTGGCACAGAGAGGAATCCTGCAGATGGCTCATGTCTGAATTTCTAAACTGGTTCCTTTCTGAAACATTTTTCGGAAATGTAGAAGGAGAATTTTGTCTTGAAACACTGCTCACTCCTCCCCACAACAGCTGAAATCTCTTAAATCTTTTCTAGCACACAAGTTCACTTGTTTTTTTGGCTTCAGAGGTGCTGATTCACATCCCGCCATTATCCACTCCTTAAAATACAGTCATAGCTCTCACTCTGGCTATATGTTTGTGACACTGGCACCCTAATTTTCTGAGTCGCTCCCTGAAGTCCCAAGTTTACAATTCACATGTAGGTTAAATTGGATGAAATACCCATATGCTATTAATGAGTTCTTGAGTTGATGCCTTGATAGACACCAACATTATAGCAACAACTGATAGAAGGTGCCTCCACAACCAAGGCTATGGGGCGCACACGTTTTATGTCCCTAAACTAAACCTGGACACAGCTTCACCAGGCCTTTCCTAGTTCACCTGCAATTATTTTACTGGGTCTGTCCAGCAGCTTCCTCTTCCATCCCTACAAAGAACCAGGTAATGGCACATTTGCTCCATTTCTTACTTGAGTGTTCCAGACATACACCTGTAGAAGTTTATCATCGGTCCTTGGCTTCAGGTTTTGTGGTACCAGGTGTACCAATTAGGCTCAAGGATGGATTAGCGTAAAAGTTAAAAAACAGGACACCACTAAAGTTTAGATTAGGGAAGATGTTCCATCTAATCAGTGCTTTTATGCCATGTTAGTTTTGAAAGAGCCTAACTATATATTCCAGGTGAGCTTAATATTTTGTATTGTATTGTATTTATCAATTATCAAGAGATAATTAGATTAACCCAAAGACCAAACCTTTGAGGTGGTGCTTCAGGCAGATAATACCTTACTGCTTTAAGATGAGTGAAATTATTTGGTCATTCAAAGTTTGCCCTCTTGGCCTTTAAACCCTTCCCTCTATTATACAGTACCTTGATGAAAGAATGAAGCTGTTCCAGCTGAGAGTAGACTAAGCCTAGCTGTCTCTGAAGCCTGTCCAAAGCATGGGAACTCTTTTGGGTCAACCCTTCCATTTGCTCAGCGGCCGTCTGTTCCAATGCAGCCAAAGTCTGCTCACTGGCTCCTAAGCGAGCCTGTAGGGCATGTATGCGCTGCTCCTGTAAAGAAAAATAGCAGCAGGTCAGCAGAAAGAAAAATAAACGGATCAGCCACAACATTAAAGCTGGTCACCTTTTAATGTTGAGGCTGACGAGTGAATATCCATGGCTTATTTTGGAAGATTTAATTTTGACACAATCTGTAATGTGATCTTAATCCTATTTTGTAATTTTATTTTAATTTATTTACAATATTTTACAACTATACATTTTCCTTGTTTATTAAAATAAGATTTAATGCACGGAAATTATATTTTCTCAAACCCTGAACTAAATATTTTCTTGCTTGTGAAATATGGTTTAATGTGATGACAAATAAACTACACATGTGCTGTATAATGTGACAATGCACAGGTACTATAGAGTTAATTATACTGGATACTGAAAATAAAAGTACAAAAAACAACAGTTGAGAACAAAATTAAAGTTATCCAAAACACTGCAGTGAACATTTCAAACAATCTAAATTCTATGTTAAAGGTGAGACCAGCAGTTTATTGGTTACCAACCTTTTTTTCCAACTCCTCTTTTAGTTTTGTGCCGGTGGCCTCATGCTGGTTTTTCTCTGTAGTTGCAACAGTCAATCTTCTCTTTAGAGATTCAATGAGGGCCTTCCTGTTAGTGGCCTCTTCTGACAAAGTTTTCACCTGGAAAGATGTAAAGTTGAAATGGGATGGTAGACAAAGCCAATTTTGTTATTTTAAATGAGACACTCAAGTTATTTATTTGTTTTAAATATATTATTCTTTAGGTAGGCTCAACAGTCCCTGTAGTCACCAAGGATACACAACGGCTATCCTATGAGAAATATTGAATAATATTGAGCACAACACCTAATTCTCTCTGTCAATCTTAAAGAGCATCAAACTAATCGGATGCCATGATGGCGGCATCAGCTGCGTGTACCTTTTTCTCCAGCTCCTCCACTTGTCCTCTGTAACTTTTCTCCATCTCCTGCAGGAACTTCAGTCTCGTCTTCAGGTCCTCCACCAGCTGCCTTTTCATGTTCACGTCTCGCTCGGTGTGGCTCGCCCTGAAAACATACCAAAAAAGGTGCACACAAAAAGACACAGATATAGCATGCAGCATTAGTGTGTATGCATTCTACAAAGATACCTATATCCGTCCAAAGGCACACTCACATACAGCAGAACCTAACACACATACACACACACACACACACACA